TTAAGAGCTGCAAAGGAAAGAATACAACTTTTATGTTTGTCAAAAAGATATTTAAATGGGTATTCGAAGTTTAGGCAGGGTCCTCATTCTCTTCTGTAGAATTGTTGTCCTTTAATCCAGAGCGTTGTCCTTTGAAACGTACTCAACTGTTCAGTAGCAACTCATGTTCAGAACTCTCTGTTTGAATATCGAACAGTCTCTTTTATACTTTCTTCGATTAATCATAATTTGATCGCTTTGGAATTTCACAATTTGCGCAATACTCATTATTGTCAAAACATTATCAAATTTATAATGACTTAGTGTCGGGTTTCTTTGATGATACTTGGTGTCCAATTAATTTAGATTCAGATTTCTTTGATGATACTTTTTATGTTCGTTGACCACACATTAAGTGTCAAATTCTATTATACGTAAGTATGTAGCTTGTATTATCAGTTCAGTGTCGATTTATGTTATACGTAAGTATACATGGTTTATTATCAGCTTGGTGTCGAATTATGGTACACGTAAGTATGTATGTTGTATTATTGGTTTAATTGAATTTAGCATCCGGTATCTGTTGTTTTAAATATTGGATTAATTGTATTAGTTGTTATTGATGATGAAATTGGGTTCATCGTTAGTATAGCTGATGATGTGGTAGCTGAATGTGTAACACCTCCCTCCTTAAGTTTGAACTGCTCCTGAAGTTCAATGTTTGGGTGTTCAATGCTTGGGTTCGACGTTTCTTTCCTTAACAGTCTTTTACATAATTTCTTATATTTTATACAATATTTTGTTAGTAAAAATATTAAAATAATTGTAATTTTAATTGTTAGTGAAATTGAATAATTTTCATTTGTTGTATGCTTATATTTTAATTCTTTAATTTGTTTTGTGTTTTCTATATTTTTCAAGTGAACATTTTCTAAACTATTTATATTTGAAGTGACATTCATTTCTTCATAAAATGGCAAAATTACTAAATTATAAAATATATTATCAATGTTTTCAAAGTTGTTTTCATTAACACTTATTGAACAATTTTTAAATTCTATTATATTATTTCCTTGTATTTCGTATTTCATTTACAATCATGTTTAATTTTGGTTTTTTCTAAACTTTTGGTAAATACAATTCCTTTCTCAATTTCTTTAATTTCTGTTTCATTGTGTGTTCTGCTTGTACAAAATTTGAATTTACTTTTAAATATATTTTGAATGCATTTATAACTTAAGTTTAATCTTTCTTTAAAAATTATTTCATCTGTATAATCATAAACTTTTTCTGTATCTGTAATGTAACGTTGTTTATCTATATTTATTTCTTTATTAAATTTGTTTGGAACTGGTAAAATTTCGATTTCAAAATAATCTTCTTTACAAAATTGTGGTATCATTATTACTATTATTAAATTTTTATTTATTTCTAATACCTTGCTTTTTATATATTTCAATTTTTTTTTATTAATTTCAAACTTCTTAATTTCCTCATATGTTAATATATTTCTGCCTAGTATTCCTATTCTTGAAAATGCTATTAAATCTTGAATTTGTAAATGTATTAGCTCTATTGCTTCTATATCTTTTTTCTGTGTTATATTCACATTATTTAGTATTGAATTATAAACTTTTATATTTTCATTAACTTTTTCCGATAATAAATCGATGTTTTGTTGTAACTCTAAATTAACATTTATTTGTTTGTTATGAGCATTTATTAATTTGTGATCGTTTTCTTCTATTACTTTTAAATGTTCGTTTAATTCTTGTCTATCGTCATCGTCCATTGTACCAAATAAAACGTTAAACCTTTTCCTACAATATTTGCTAACGCTCTTTTCTGTCTAATTCTCAAAGGTTTAATTGATATTAATTTACTTTGTGCTATTTTTAATGTGAACATTAAATTTGTTGTTGATTTGTTATTTTGAAAAGAATTATTAAAATTTTCTATTGCAATATTTAATTTTGTTATTATATTCTCATAGTCTGTTAAATCTATAATATAATATACCTTGCTAAAATCCTGTATTACGTCCAGTTTTTCTTTCTTTAAAATTGTATAGCCTGTTTCGTAATTAAGTTGAGTGATTCTTATTTCATTGCTCAAAATTGAAGTTGATAAAAGTAAAATTAAAACTGAAAGTAAAAAATAAAAACAATGTATTTATTACTTTGAATATTTATGTATTCTTTTAACTCTTTGAGGGTGTATGTGTCTATTTCTTTTATCAAATATTTTACTGTCTTTTAATTGTACTTTTATTTTTTTATATTTTGGATCACTTTTTCGTATTTTATCAGCTTTTACAAATATATCTTCTTTATTTATCTCTGGTAAACTTTTTCTTTTCATATTTTGATTGTTTATTGATATACTTTGTTTCTTTTCTCTTTGTTCTTTTATTTTAATAAAATCTGTGCTTGATATTTTATTTGAGATAAAATCAATTGGTTTTTTATTTGTTGTTGAATGAATACTATTATTAAAATATTGTACCGATTTTATTATTCTTTTAGTAATTGTTTCTTTATTATTTTGAGATTTTAATAGTCTTAAATGTTCGTTTATAGTGCCATGTACTCTCTCTATATCACTATTACCTGTTTTTATTAATGGTGATGTAAAGTGTACATTTATTTCTTCATTATTGAAATATTCTCGCATGTATGAGTTGTTAAATTCGTTATCGAAAACATATTTTTGTGGTTTTCCAAAAATTGAATGTCCGTAATTTAAAGTTTCAATAAAAGTTTGACTGTTTCTATTTTAGTCTTGTTTGGTATTTCCGTTTTTTCAAATTTAATTTTTTCTTCATGTCTGTCATGTTTTGCTGATTGACATATTTCGCAATTATTTATAAACCTTGTAATTAATTGTTTTAATTTTGGAATGTAAATTTTATCTTTTAATTCTTTAAAATTTTCATCTATACCGCGATGGTTAAGCCTTAAATGTTCCTTTTCTATGATCTCGAAGGCTTTTTCTTCATCCTCGATATCATCTAAAAGTATATTGCTTTTAAGTGCTTTTATATTCGAGTTTCCGAATTCTTTTATAAAATGACTTTGAAATTGTATATATTTTTCTTCATTTGGACAATATACTGTAAAATTTTTTAAATTTAGATTTTTTAAAATTTCTCCAAAACTTTCATTTATCATAAATAAAAATTCGTCGATTCTTAAAAGTTGATGTTTCAAAAATATCTTTTCCTTTTGTCTTATTTTCAGTAAAAATTATTTGAGTTTTAAATAAATTTATTGGTTTTTCTGATATCCAGATGTGATCATTCGTATCTTCATCTGCACTATGAATAGTTGTACAAGTTGATTCGAAATCATTTTGTGTTTCATCTATTTCCATTTCTTCTAATTCATTTATTTGTAATCTACTTAAAAAATCTGCGACGTTATTTTCCTTACCTTTAATATACTCAATATCAAATACATACTCGTTAAGAGCTAGTTTCCATCTAGTAAATTTATTTTTTTCTTGTTTTAGATTGGCTAACCAAATTAATGGCTTATGATCTGTTTGTAATTTAAAACGTTTGCCGTATAAATATGGTCGAAAGTATTTACACGCCCATACAACTGCTAGTAATTCTTTTTCTATGGTTGAATAATTTTTTTCACTGTCACAAAGTGTTCTACTTGCATAACAAATAGGATGCCTGTCTTGTGATAGTACAGCACCAATTGCGAATGTACTTGCATCAGTCGTTAAGACAAATTGTTTTTCGAAATTCGGGTATTTTAAAATTGGGTAATCGATTAATAACTGCTTTAATTTTTCAAAAGCATTGATATAATTGATATCGTTTATATCAATTTTCCTATTTTTCTTTAAATTTTTTATTATTGGGTATGCGATTCGACTGTAATCCTTTATAAATTTTCTGTAGTATCCTGTAATTCCCAAATATGACTTAATTTCCTTAACCGTGGTTGGTAATTTGATTTTTTTTATTACTTCTATTTTCGTCGGGTTTGGTTTTAATCCTTCGCTTGTGATGATGTGTCCTAAAATATATGTTTGTTTTCTGAAAAATGAACATTTATCAATTTGAATTTTTAAATTATTCTCTCAATTTGCTAAATATTTTTTTTTAACTGAAATTATGTGTTCCTGTAAACTTGTACTAAAAATTAACATATCATCGAGATATACCACACAAATTTTATTTATAAATGGTTGTAAAATATGATTCATCATTCTTTGAAAAGTGGCTGGAGCATTTTTTAATCCAAAAGGCATTCGTACATTTTCATAATGTCCGTATTCTGTTGAAAATGCCGTTTTGTGCCTATCTCTAGGGTTTACTAAAATTTGATAAAATCCTTTCGCCAAATCTAGGGTTGTGAAATATTGAGCTTTTCCCAGTTTATCAAATACTTTCTATATTAGGTATAGGAAATTTGTCTTCAATTTGTCTTCAATTGTAATTTCATTCAATCGACGATAATCAATGACTATTCTCCATTTTTGCTTTCCTGAATTATCCATTTTCTTTGGAACTATCCATAATGGTGCATTGTATGGTGAACAACTTTTTTGTATTATTCCATTTTTCTCCATTTCGGTAATTTGATTCCTAATTTCATTTTTATGTATTTCTGGGTATCTATATAATTTCGTATATATTGGTCTATCTGTTGTTGTATCGATATTGTGTTGTATTTCGTTTACACTCGTTAGCTCATCTCCTTCTTTAAAAAATAAATCTTTGTTTTTATTAATTAAAATTTCTAATGACCTATTTTCTTCTAAATTCATTTCTTCATTTTTCAATTTATTAAAAATATCTGTGTTTTCTATTGCTTTTAATTCTCCTTTTTCTAATATTTCATTAATATATTCGTTAGATTCTTTTACGTAAAAGTCTTTAATATTTTCTTCATTAAATAAATCTTTAATATTTTCGTAATGGTTTTCCATGTTCACTTTTTTATTTTCACTATTAAAATTTTTTTTTTTCTATTCTCCTCTAGATTTTTAAATTTTATTTTCTGTCCATTTACATTTAAAGTATTTGTTTTGTACGCAATTTCTACTCCTAACGGAATCATAACGTCATTCCCTAATATCCTGTCATATTTTCTATTGTTAAAAACGTTTGTTACTAAAAATGTTATTGTTCGTTTTTTATTGTCGTTAAATTCACTAGGTAACCAAGTCGAAATGTATCTGTCTACTATTTCCTGTTGTCTTCCGGTTATAACATTCTTTTGTGTTCTAAATCTTCTTTCTAACACTCTTGGAAAAATTCCTGGTTTTATAACTGAAACTTCTGCTCCTGAATCTATTAATAATTTCACTTTAACTCCTCCTGTTGTTACTTCCATCATGGGTATATTTCGTCCTACGAGGCTGTTTTCGGAAAATTTTCTATTAACACATTATCCACTTCCATTGGTTCAAATAGCTGTCTTCTTGACTGTCTTGTATTATTATTTGCCCTTGAAAATTGTGCTAGCGTTTGGAAATTCTGTTGGTAATCATTATGTTGAAAATTATCACGTTGCACGTTATGGTGAAAATTATCACGTTGCACGTTGTGTTGAAAATTATTAGGATTTGTATTTTGTTGTATATTATTTATTTGCATATTATACTGAAAATTTTGCCTCTTATTTCCTGTTCTTAGAGCATAGTCATTAAATTGTTGACTATTGCCTTTTGTTTGAATATAATTCATTTTGTTAAAATTTGTATTATTTTAAAAATTTTTGTATTTATTATCGAATCTGGTCCAGTTGTTTTGTTCTAACAACCAATATGCTTCAAATAGTGTTTTTATGTTACGTGATATTAAAATGCTCGCTGCATTAATGGGTATCTTTTCTTCAAACAAATTTAAAATTGACTCTTCATTACTTTCCGGAGTCCTATCTATTAATCTTTCTGTTTATAAATGATACTTATTATTCATACGCGTTAATACATTCGATAATTCGTTATAGAATTGTGTAATATTTTTGTGAATTACTTTTTCTGCCTTTTCATGTAATTGTAAGAAGGTATTTCTTTCACTAAAATTTTCTATTAAAACTCTTTTGATTTCATTCCAATTCGTTGTATCGATGCTATACCACAATAGTGTAGTATTTGCTTTACCCACTATTTTATCACGAATTTGTAACACGATAAACTTCTGCGATTGTATAGAGTAATTATTCATGCTATGTAATAACAACTCTACTTTGTTCACAAATTGTACTAGTTCTGCAGTATTTTCACCGTTATACTCACCCATTCTTTTAATGAATGTAAGCGGGTCGAATTTGATTTCCATTATGTTTCCTACTGGTCCTTGTTGTACAGACTGCTCTGATGTCGCCATTTCTTCTCCCGTATCCTTTTGTAGTTTCCTTTTTGGTATGTAAGAAGGTTTCATAAAAATTTCTCGATATACACAAGTAAACTTTGTTTTACTTGTTTTACCGGATTCCTTTCTTAATTCACTGAAATAAGAACTTCCTTGCTCTATATGGTTTACCGACTGCGCCAATAATAGGTTTTTACAATGTAGTAGATTTCTACACTGCAAATTCTATTCAAAAAACTCTCGTTTGATTAAAATGAAAAGATTTNTATGTATGTTGTATTATTGGTTTAATTGAATTTAGCATCCGGTATCTGTTGTTTTAAATATTGGATTAATTGTATTAGTTGTTATTGATGATGAAATTGGGTTCATCGTTAGTATAGCTGATGATGTGGTAGCTGAATGTGTAACACCCCCCTCCTTAAGTTTGAACTGCTCCTGAAGTTCAATGTTTGGGTGTTCAATGCTTGGGTTCGACGTTTCTTTCCTTAACAGTCTTTTACATAATTTCTTATATTTTATACAATATTTTGTTAGTAAAAATATTAAAATAATTGTAATTATAACTGTTAGTGAAATTGAATAATTCTCATTTGTTGTGTGCTTATATTTTAATTCTTTAATTTGTTTTGTGTTTTCTATATTTTTCAAATGCACTTCTTCTAAACTATTTATATTTGATTTTACATTCATTTCTTCATAAAATGGCAAAATTATTAAATTATAAAATATATTATCAATGTTTTCGAAATTGTTTTCGTTAATACTTATTGAACAATTTTTAAATTCTATTATATTATTTCCTTGTATTTCATATTTCATTTTGTTACAATCATTTTTAATTTTGGTTTTTTCTAAGTTTTTAGTAAATACAATTCCTTTTTCAATTTCTTTAATTTCTGTTTCATTGTTTGTTCTGCTTGTACAAAATTTGAATTTACTTTTAAATATATTTTGAATGCATTTATTACTTAAATTTAATCTTTCTTTAAAAATTATTTCATCTGTATAATCATAAACTTTTTCTGTATCTGTAATGTAACGTTGTTTATCTATATTAATTTCTTTATTAAATTTGTTTGGAACTGGTAAGATTTCAATTTCAAAATAATCTTCTTTGCAAAATTGTGGTATCATTATTACTATTATTAAATTTTTATTTATTTCTAATACTTTGCTTTTTATATATTTCAATTTTTTATTATTGATTTCAAATTTCTTAATTTCTTTATTTGTTAGTATATTTCTGCCTAGTATTCCTATTCTTGAAAATGCTATTAAATCTTGAATTTTTTCTATTTCATTAATTAAGTAATTTATATCAAATTGTAAATGTATTAATTCTATTGCTTCTATATCTTTTTTCTGTGTTATATTCACATTATTTAATATTGAATTATAAACTTTTATATTTTCATTAACTTTTTCCGATAATAAATCAATATTTTGTTGTAACTCTAAATTAACATTTATTTGTTTGTTATGAGCATTTATTAATTTGTGATCGTTTTCTTCTATTATTTTTAAATGTTCATTTAATTCTTGTCTATCGTCATCATCCATTGTACCAAATAAAACGTTTTAAACCTTTTCCTACGATATTTGCTAATGCTCTTTTCTGTCTAATTCTCAAAGGTTTAATTGATATTAATTTACTTTGTGCTATTTTTAATGTGAACATTAAATTTGTTGTTGATTTGTTATTTTGAAAAGTATTATTAAGATTTTCTATTGCAATATTTAGTTTTGTTTTTATATTCTCATAGTCTGTTAAATCTATGATATGATATACCTTGCTAAAATCCTGTATTACGTCCAGTTTTTCTTTCTTTAAAATTGTATAGCCTGTTTCGTAATTAAGTTGAGTGATTCTTATTTCATTGCTCAAAATTGAAGTTGATAAAAGTAAAATTAAAACTGAAAGTAAAAATAAAAACAATGTATTTATTACTTTGAATATTTATGTACTCTTTTAACTCTTTGTGGGTGTATGTGTCTATTTCTTTTATCAAATATTTTACTATCTTTTAATTGTACTTTTATTTTTTTATATTTTGGATCACTTTTTCGTATTTTATCAACTTTTACGAATATATCTTCTTTATTTATTTCTGGTAAACTTTTTCTTTTCATATTTTGATTGTTTATTGATATATTTTGTTTCTTTTCTATTTGTTCTTTTATTTTAATAAAATCTGTGTTTGATATTTTATTTGAGATAAAATCAATTGGTTTTTTATTTGTTGTTGAATGAATACTATTATTATAATATTGTACCGATTTTATTATTCTTTTAGTAATTGTTTCTTTATTATTTTGAGATTTTAATAGTCTTAAATGTTCGTTTATAGTTCCATGTACTCTCTCTATATCACTATTACCTGTTTTTATTAATGGTGATGTAAAGTGTACATTTATTTCTTCATTATTAAAATATTCTCGCATGTATGAATTGTTAAATTCGTTATCAAAAACATATTTTTGTGGTTTTCCAAAAATTGAATGTCTGTAATTTAAAGTTTCAATAAAAGTTTGACTGTTTCTATCAGTTACTGGTACTACAAACAAGTGTTTGCTAAACTTATCAATGAATGTAAAAAATATTTGTCTTTCAGCTATGTATAAATCTCCGTGTATTATTTCATTAGTTATATTTGGTATTTCCGTTTTTTGAAATTTAATTTTTTCTTCATGTCTATCATGTTTTGCTGATTGACATATTTCGCAATTATTTATAAACCTTGTAATTAATTGTTTTAATTTCGGAATGTAAATTTTATCTTTTAATTCTTTAAAATTTTCATCTATACCGCGATGGTTAAGCCTTAAATGTTCCTTTTCTATGATCTCGAAGGCTTTTTCTTCATCCTCGATATCATCTAAAAGTATATTGCTTTTAAGTGCTTTTATATTCGAATTTCCGAATTCTTTTATAAAATGTCTTTGAAATTGTATATATTTTTCTTCATTTGGACAATATACTGTAAAATTTTTTAAATTTAAATTTTTTAAAATTTCTCCAAAATTTTCATTTATCATATTTTCATAAATAAAAATTCGTCGATTTTTAAAAATTGATGTTTCAAAAATATCTTTTCCTTTTATTTTATTTTCCGTAATTATTATTTGAATTTTAAATAAATTTATTGGTTTTTCTGATATCCAGATGTGATCATTCGTATCTTCATCTGCACTATGAATAGTTGCACAAGTTGATTCAGAATTATTTTGTGCTTCATCTATTTCCATTTCTTCTAATTCATTTATTTGTAATCTACTTAAAAAATCTGCCACGTTATTTTCTTTACCTTTAATATATTCAATATCAAATACATACTCGTTAAGAGCTAGTTTCCATCTAGTAAATTTACTATTTTCTTGTTTTAGATTGGCTAACCAAATTAATGGTTTATGATCTGTTTGTAATTTAAAACGTTTGCCATATAAATATGGTCGAAAATATTTACACGCCCATACTACTGCTAGTAATTCTTTTTCTATGGTTGAATAGTTTTTTTCACTGTCACAAAGTGTTCTACTTGCATAACAAATAGGATGCCCGTCTTGTGATAGTACAGCACCAATTGCGAATGTACTTGCATCAGTCGTTAAGACAAATTGTTTTTCGAAATTCGGGTATTTTAGAATTGGGTAATCGATTAGTAGTTGCTTTAATTTTTCAAAAGCATTGATATAATTGATATCGTTTATATCAATTTTTCTATTTTTCTTTAAATATTTTACCATTGGGTATGCAATTCGACTGTAATCCTTTATAAATTTTCTGTAGTATCCTGTAATTCCCAAAAATGATTTAATTTCTTTAACCGTGGTTGGTAATTTGATTTTTTCTATTACTTCTATTTTCTTCGGGTTTGGTTTTAATCCTTCGCTTGTAATGATGTGTCCTAAAAAATCTGTTTGTTTTCTGAAAAATGAACATTTATCAATTTGAATTTTTAAATTATATTCTCTTAATTTGTTAAATATTTTTTGAACTGAAATTATGTGTTCCTGTAAACTTGTACTGAAAATTAATATATCATCAAGATATACCACACAAATTTTATTTATAAATGGTTGTAAAACATGATTCATCATTCTTTGAAAAGTTGCTGGAGCATTTTTAATCCAAAAGGCATTCGTACGTATTCATAATGTCCGTATTCTGTTGAAAATGCCGTTTTGTGCCTATCTCTTGGGTTTACTAAAATTTGATGAAATCCTTTCGCCAAATCTAGTGTTGTGAAATATTGAGCTTTTCCCAGTTTATCGAAAATACTTTCTATATTAGGTATAGGAAATTTGTCTTCAATTGTAATTTCATTCAATCGACGATAATCAATGACTATTCTCCATTTTTGCTTTCCTGAATTGTCCATTTTCTTTGGAACTATCCATAATGGTGCATTGTATGGTGAACAACTTTTTTGTATTATTCCATTTTTTTCCATTTCTGTAATTTGATTCCTAATTTCATTTTTATGTATTTCTGGGTATCTATATAGTTTCGTATATATTGGTCTATCTGTTGTTGTATCAATATTGTGTTGTATTTCGTTTACACTTGTTAGCTCATCTCCTTCTTTAAAAAATAAATCTTTGTTTTTATTAATTAAATTCTCTAATGACCTGTTTTCTTCTAAATTCATTTCATCATTTTTCAATTTATTAAAAATATCTATGTTTTCTATTACTTTTAATTCTACTTTTTCTAATATTTCATTAATATATTCGTTAGACTCTTTTACATAAAAATCTTTAATATTTTCTTCATTAAATAAATCTTTAATATTTTCATAATGGTTCTCCATGTTCACTTTTTTATTTTCACTATTAAAATTTTTTTTTCTATTCTCCTCTAGATTTTTAAATTTTATTTTCTGTCCATTTATGTTTAAAGTATTTGTTTTGTACGAAATTTCTGCTCCTAACGGAATCATAACGTCATTCCCTAATATCCCGTCATATTTTCTATTGTTAAAAACGTTTGTTACTAAAAATGTTATTTTTCTTTTTTTATTATCTTTAAATTCACTAGGTAACCAAGTCAAAATATATCTGTCTACTATTTCCTGTTGTTTTCCAGTTATAACATTCTTTGCTGTTCTAAGTCTTCTTTCTAACACTCTTGGAAAAATTCCTGGTTTTATAACTGAAACTTCTGCTCCTGAATCTATTAATAATTTCACTTTAACTCCTCCTATTGTTACTTCCATCATGGGTATATTTCGTCCTCCGAGGCTGTT